TAAGAGTCCTCACAGGCCGGACCTCTGCTCCTCCCTCCCCCCTGTCTGCCGGCAAAACGCACATCCCTTGATCAGAGTGCTTCCTTCAGACACCACGTGGCGAGGGCTGCAGCGCCCCACCCCCCCCACCCAGACTTGTGTGAACAAGAATTAAACCCATGTCGCTATAAACCACCTAGAGTTTATTTCTACACATGCTCACTTGCCCTGCCAATGAACTACAACTTGAATAAAACTAATACATTGATAAGTCATAAAGTTCCCCTACACCCCGCAGAAACACGTGGCCACAGCAGGGCTGCTCCTTACAGCCTCATAGGACCAATTGCTTGTAATTGCACTTACATTTTCTCTAATGAAAGACAAATATGTACCTTAGTGGAAAACAGCCCATTAGAAGACAGATCTGCAAGTTACTTACCTGATATTTCTATGGTATTATTAAAGAAAATCACTAGACAGCTAGTTGCACCTTACAATTCTATCAACAACGGATTCTAAGAAACATTGTAGAAATGCCATTTGTATAAATCTGATAAGAAGATACAGAAATAGAGAAGAAACAATTAGAGGAAACTATTTCTAAGTTGGGGTTCAGTGAAAAATCCTTTCGATGTCTCCTTTGGCCGGTTGCCTAGTTGCTCTGTTGGTACCACTGCAATTTGAATTCTGCATCCACACTATTTGATAAGCCCGTGGACCTTGGCGGCTCAATGACAGTGAGCAAGTCCTGTACTCAAGAGCATCCAAGGTGCTGCTCTCTGCCACATCGACATCGAAATGTCCTGTCACCAGAGAAGACTCCGGGAAAACCTGCCTCAGACTCCGAACTCATGGGAGGCAGAGCTAGAAGAGCAAATAATATGTACTGAATAGCTCTCCTGGGTGTTGGTGGTGGAGTTGGGGGATCCAAACTGGGACGGAGCTGTGTTGACACCTCAAGCTCAGCTCCACGCCCAGTGCCCTTTCAACTTCCTTAGATCACCCCTCCAGCCAGACACCCCTCAGGAGGTGGACGCGGACCCCACTGTTTTTTCATACACTCCTTTTCCTGAGAACGCCAAGCCACGCTTTCATTTATGTTAATAATATTCTCTCTGAAATGTCCAAAAATTCAAAGTTTAAACTTTAAGTGACATAATTCTGTATTTAAACAAACAGTTTTCGATTACAAAAGATCAGAAATTTTTGAAAACCTGCAAAACGCTGAGGTCAATTTTTTTTTCAAATATTACATATGCATTTTTTTCCTTCACTGCAACAAAATTAACATTTAATAAAAATCACCCATTTCTCATAGAGTTTAAGGATTCTTTGGGTTCATTCTAAGCCACATCTTTCACATTTAGAATTTTCTGGTTTAGTTGGAAGCATTTTTCAGAAGTTTGAACACAGAGTTCACCTGATTATTCCAAAATGTGTGCATGTGGGAAGAATGGTTTGCTTACGGGATCCTTCTTCAATAATTCAGATACTTAAATCATCATTTCCAAAGCAAATTTTCCAAAATCAAATAAATTGCATAACTAGAAATATAATCAACTCTTCGAAAAGGAGTTCCAATCCTCTGCCAAAACAGACCTCAAATTCTTAATCCCTTGTCCAAAAAAATATTGGACCAAGTATTGACGCTTTCCACCAAGAAAGCCACATAGCCACAAATGGTTCTCATTTACGCCACTCCTGGGACATACAGCTCAAATAAAAAATTTCCTGAATACCCCAAATTTCAGATGCAATTTGGAATGTGAGGGATTCGTACTGTTATGCAAGAAACATTATGATCTTCTCTTACCAGCTCAGTGTTTCTGGAATGCAGTCCCTGGGAGACTGTCCCCACTAATCAGAAAGCTGACCGCTCTCAGCCATGTGACCCCACTACTCCACTCTGTGCCCCCGGGTCAGATGTGCCTCTGAACCCTGAGCAATCTGCTCCTCCAGCTACTGTTCAGGTGGGGAAGACGTCACCTCAGGGGAGCTAACAAAGCTCCACACTGTGCCCCATGGCAGGAAACATGGTCGTGATGCAGTCCATCTCCCTCTTAGGAGAGGGCAAAACGGTGTTAAAGGGAACCGAGGCACTGTCGTCGCTTCTGCACCAAAGACTCTGACAGTGCCTCTGAATAGACGCAGGTTTTCATTAAATTCAAGTGTGAAAAACCGCCTCTAGTCCAGTGGTTCTCAACCTGTGGGTCGCGATCCCTTTGGGGGTCGAACAACCCTTTCACAGGGGTCGCCTAAGACCATCGGAAAACAAAAAGATATTTACATTACGATTCATAACAGTAGCAAAATTACAGTTATAGAGTAGCAACGAAAATAATTTGATGGTTGGGGGTCACCACAACATGAGGAACTGTATTAAGGGGTCGCGGCATTAGGAAGGTTGAGAACCGCTGCTCTAGTCCATCTGATTTCCTTTCTAATCGCACCCCTTCTGTTAAACACAGTCTCTCGGAGCACCAACGTGGCAGCAGCCATCTACTGTAGGTTCCTTTTTTCTTTCAAGGAAAAAAACACAACTGATATAGAAGAAGAAAAGTACTGCACTGAAAGAACAAGACAACTGCAAAAGTCTTAAAAACTGCACTTAATAAAGAAGAGTAAAGCGTAGGAGGCTACAATATAATGAAATAAATAAAAGGAGCATAGAGGAGCAAATGTGGGTAATAAAAGATGGAGATAAACACTTACTGACATAGCATCCCATTCTCTAAAGGGATCATTATAAGCAAAATGCACAGAGGGAATTCTTAAACCAGATGACCTGGGAGAGTCGGCAGCAGGATCGAAAGCTCAGCACTTAGCACCTTGAAAGTTGGGGCAGCGGTCAGCGCTGAGGCTACAGAAATAACAGCCAACAGGAAGAAACCTCTCAAACTACAGGAGCTTGAGGAAAGCTGAAAATCATTATTTAAGCATAAGGAGAAAAGAATCTAGTTTAAATATAATAATATTCTCTAAAACTCAATAATAAAGAACATATAAAACAACGGGATGGCCAGAATAAATGTCACAGTTCTAGAGGCAATTTTGGTATTAGTAACATTTACAAAGAAACACCTCAATTGAGTCTGTAAATTAAAATTATGACCTAACTACACATCCTGTGAGATGAGTGTGCCCCAGGAAACTACAAAAAATAGGAAATACTTGAAAAAAAATGAATGTCTACACATTAACAAAAAGATCAGCCTAAATTTGTGGTCGGATCAATGCATTTCATGAATAATCTAAAAAGTGGCTTGAATACATCTGGCTGCCAAAAGATCCTATTTCCCATCCCAATCCAGCCCTTTGAACAGTCATCTTTCATTTGTTCATACAAAACGAGATAGTAATCACATCAGTTACCCAATACTTTTTGTACTGAAAAAATTTGGACAGCTAATAACATCAGGAAATGGAATATTCTAGATGACTGTGTTTTCTGGTTACTTTAAAATCTAATTCAGTGCATTTTCCCTCTTGCCACTGTTGGGTTTTATTCTCAGAATTGAATGAGATCGGCATAACCCTCAGTAAATATTAAACTCTCAGAGATTTTGTGAATAAATGACATGAGATCTATGCAGCTTCTAGAACAGTGCACATGGTAAATACTAAGAGAAATGTCAGTTCCCTTATTCTTTTCCCGTTCTTTTCCCTCTTGCTTCTGCCAACCACAGCTTTTCCTCCTCTCCTGCAGTTTAGGATCCAGGAGCTGGGTTTTTGCATGTGATCAATTTCCCAACAGAAGATCATATTTCTTTATTCTCTCAATCATCTGTTCGATGAGTTTTAATTATAGGACCCCCTCTAAAAACTTCTTGCCTAAACCTTTTCTCTTCTGCCCTTAATTGCCACTGAGGGAGCACATAAGCTCAACTCGTAGTTTGTATCAGAGCCTAATGTCATATGCAGCACTGTCATAGGAGACAGGAACAGGAGTACAGAATTCAGAATTCAAAAACCATCGTCCCCCACCTGGGATGGTTCCTCTTATGTGACAACTTGACTGGGCCACAGGGTGCCAGGCAGTTGTTCAAACAGTATTTTGGGTGTTTCAGGGAAGGGTGTTTTTGCATGAGATTAACATTTAAATAGACGGACGGGAGTAAAGCAGATTGTCCTCCATGATGTGGGTGGGCCTCGTCCAATCAGTTGAAGGCCTGAATAGCACAAAAGGGTGGCCCTCCCTGGAGTGAGGATTCTCCTGCCTGGTGTCCTTCCAACTGGAACATCTGTTTTTCCAGCCTCACAGCCTTTGAAGTGGGTCATCAGCTCCTCCTTGTTCTAGAACAGCCTGTGGCCTTTGGGCTCAAACTGGGACATTGGCTCTGCAGGTTTTAGACTTGCCAGCCTCCATAACTGCATAAGCCAGTGCCCCATAACAAATCTCTCTCTGTCTGTCTCTGTCTCTTTCTCTAGGTAGGCAGGTAGGTAGATAGGTGGGTGGGTAGATAGATAGATAGATAGATAGATAGATAGATAGATAGGCAGGTAGGTAGGCAAGCAGAAAGATACATACATAGATACATAGACATAATATTGGTTGTGTGTCTCTGGAGAACCCTGACTAATACACTAACCTCAAGAAGCTCAAAGTTTAAAGTTTAGTCGTGGGGATACACCCACGTGAACTTTATCCATGAAGCCTTCCCCAAGCAATAACACAGATGATGCTATGAGCCAAGTAAGCCATCAAGTTAAAAAAAAAAAAAACTATCAATAAACATTCACTGAGTGGATTAAAAGTGCCTGATAGCAAGACCTGCCAAAGACAATATCAGACCATGTCATTCATGCCCTCAAGATTTCCCATCAAGTGAGGGATCCGGTGTCAGCGTACCGCGAGGTTTGCCCTTTCCTGCAAATGCTGGCGAGAGGAGATTTCTCTGCTTTTATGAGTTGCTGTTTTTGAAGCAAGTCGTTGGGAAATCAACTTAAAACAGGGAGTACAGCTAGAAATTAGTTCACCCCCTCAGAGCACAGTACAAATAAGAAACAAACCAGCGCACCTGAATGGCAGCCAAGTTCTTCTGCTCCTGTGATGGGGCCTCGTGAACGAAGCGAAGCCAGTTGGAGTGCCGTGGGTTGGTGGCGTCCAAAATGTACAGAACTTCGCCCTTGCTCCCGCGAACCTGAAACATAAGAGGCTCAAAGGTTTTTCGTGGATTCAGGATTAGCCATACGAGAATGATCAAGGTTAGCACACGGTATCTGTTTATAAGTATCTACCTTTCTTGTTACCAGGTAGTGAGTAGATGCTGGGTTGACAGCCCTTGTTCCCCGTAAGCATACGTACAAACAGAGCCTACTCTTTCATTTGGCGGACGTCTAGATGACTCACAGTTGCCATCAACGCTCAGAAACACCCCATGTTGATAGCTTTTCTGGCCAGGATTATCTATTTGTAGGTATATCGTAGTAGATGTGTCCCAGCTGCAATTGCTCAGGGGATGACCACAATGGCAGCCCAGAAGATGCTAGCACTGCTTGGTTCCCCGATTCGGGGGTTGGGGTGGACCTGGAGCAATCTTTCTGACGTCTCTCTCCACCTGCTTATTGAAGCATTTCCGTATGAGAATTTGCTAATCTCACCAGTGGAAATGGGACATCCACTGGGCCATAATTTCACATTTTTAATTAGTGGATGAATAAAACAAGTCCCATTTTGTCTTTTATTGGCCTACTCATGGCTTACCGAAAAGGGCAGAGGGTTCTCTGTTTTGGGTTTCATGTCATAAACCAGTAGTTCTCAACCTTCCTAATGCCGCGACCCCTTAATACAGTTCCTCATGTTGTCGTGACCACAACCATAAAATTATTTTCGTTGCTACTCTATAACTGTAATTTTGCTACTGTTATGAATCGTAATGTAAGTATTTGTTTTCCGATGGTCTTAGGCGACCCTTGTGAAAGGGTCGTTCGACCCCCAAAGCGGTAGCGACCCACAGGTTGAGAACCACTGTCATAAACCTTCCTGGTCCGATCTAATCAGCTCTCAATGGGAGGGGGGGTGAGTAACCACCCAAGGAGCAGGTGGTCCACTGGACATTCCTGAATCCAAACTATTTCAGGCCGAGCTTCCCCAAACCCCTGCACTGCAGGGTCCTGGGCACTTGCTCGGCGTAATCAAGCATCTACCAGTCTGTACCCAACAGTCACTTCATGTGGATATTCAACTGGAATCCAGGCGAGGAAGGAGAAGGACTGATTTACACTCCAGATTTCCAACACCAAGCATTACAAAGACAGATTAGAAATCCATCTCTGCAGACTGGGGTCGCAGGAAAAACAGATTCCAGATTTCTAACATTTTATAAAATAAAGCACAACCAGCCCAATCAGGTATATGTTTTCATGATACGTTTGGACAACCATTCATTCATTCAACAAATACGTCAGGGTTCAGTATCAAAATAAAATCAGCGGTGACTTCTATTCAGTACTGCTCATCTGCAGTCTGGGAGAAGGGACAGGCGCATGGCAGTGCCTTGTCCTGGACACTTGAAAAGTGATGTTGGTCGCACTTACCAGAGGCTAGAACCTGCCGAGTTCCTGCACAGTGACAACTGTCATTCAATATAAAGTAGCAAAGTCGCCACAATATGGATGGCTCTACTGAAGTGTGAAGGTTTTCGTTTTTACATAAGCGTTTCTCTTGCTTTCCCACCTTATCTGACTTTTGTGCAGCTGGCTTAGGAAGCCTGTGCAAATCAAACCAAGTTTGGAATCGAGGTGGTTTTATCGCAGATGAGGATGCTGATGTGATTACTGGCCTCGGGTATGCAGAAGACAGTCCTCAACAGAACCATCCCCGATCACATTTCGTTTCCATAAAAATCCAAATAAAAGGTGGTAATTTGGAAGACAAGTTTTGATTCGAACAAAAAAAAACACCTTGGTTGCAAAGGTTAGTTAGATGCTGGAACGTGCTACTAAGAGGAATTTTGAGTCTTCCTCATTGGCGAGACTTTAAAAGTGGTCCTTTTATTACCTCAGGGTTCAGTATCAAATTAAAATAGGTACATGGAGACTTTAATAACTGCCATCTGCCTGGAGCTTTTTTGATTTGGTTTCTCTGAAAAGAGACAGGATGGATTAGGTTATCTCTGCATGTATCTTCTAGATACTTCCGTAAGGACACGCTGTGGTTAGGGAGGGGATAAAAGTCCTGTGAGCAGATAACCTCACATCTCTAGTGATGTGAAGGCGGGGAGTGGAGTGACGGGGTAACCAGCCACTTACAGTCTAAAAAAACAGGTTCCCTGAAAAACTGCAGGAATTGAAAGTCACTCGAGTAAAGGTGTTTAGAATAAAATAAATGGCAGTCGCTCTGCGAATGAACCAAAGAAGTTATTTCAAAAATGGATGTGTCGGCAACGATAGTACGTCACTGTCGGTCACAGTGTTGTTATGAGGTTACAAGTAATATTAAATCGGTATATAAATTCGGATGTATCGAAAGGGACCGATTTCCTAAGAATGTTAACAAAATGGAAACCATGTATGTCTCTTAAGCCGAATATGAAGTGGGACCCTACCAGGCAACCAGGAAGTGCACACCTCCAATGGGCAGGAAAGGAGATGAGATGCTCACACTGGGTCATCGGACATAGCTGGGGCCGAGGGGCCTGGAAAAACGCTGAAACGTGTGCAGAACAAACAGTGGCCCTGGTAAAACGTGCCTGCGACTGGACGTCACAGAGAACTCTGTCATGCTTCACATCTTCGAAGAAAGGATTCCCAACTCAGACGCATCTGAGGTACCTTGTACTCAATGCTGGACCACACACGGATGGCTAAGACGGGCCAGTATCCGGGTTCTGTATGTGGTTCCGTCTGCTCCACTGAGAGGGCCCACAGACAAACCCATCGGTGTTCCCGACGTAAAATCACTTGGATTGTGTGGGTTTCAACAGCAGGTGTTCGTTGCAAATTTCAGTTCTTAGAAAATTTTCCTTTCAAGTGTCTAGTGACGTTGCTACTTGCTCTGCTTCTCTAGCTGTGTGTCCATATAAACAGTTCGTTACTGCAGCAACAGAGGGAAGCTGGGAGACTTTATTCCCAAATAATATTTAAAAGGAGTATTTACTCTGTTTAAAGAAGGGTAACTGGGGTCCCCTTTGAGGAGAGGGGTAGTGTGTCCTCTCACCTAGCCCTGCAGTGTCGCTGGGCTTGTCATCACTCGCCAGGCAGTGAGGGGTCTGTGCTGGGAAGCAGGAACGCAGGACTGTCCAAGTCTGTTATTCAGTGAGACGTGTCACCAACTCGCCAAGCATCGCACCTAAGCATGTGAGTTATAAATATAAGGTCTGATAGACCTAAGTTCTCCTTTTAGCAATTACAATATCGAAAATTAAACTCCTGCTTCCCAGTGAGGGCTCTGGCATTACATTAGAGGCTTTTAATGGCGATGGAGGATTTGGGGCCCTTTAAGAAAACAGGAATTATCTGAGAAACATGGCTGTATGTAAGAAAGAAGCAGGCTACAAGCTGCACTTTTTCCTGGACCACGAGCTCATACGTCTGAGTCTTGAACTCTCAGTCTGCAATTGCAGGTCCTTCCTATAACAGGTTTTGGGGGTGACTGAGCTCCGTGGATGGCTTCCTGGTCTGTGGGGCAGGGCACGAACTGGCCTCTGCCCTTCCGTCGGGTCTCAGCGCCTACCCCTGCTCCACGGCTCCTTCTGCGTCAGCCTCGTGGCCTGGCTGCTGTTCCTGGAACAGACCTAGTTTCCACGTCAGGGCCTTTCGCTCTGCCTCTGGCGCGCTGCTCCCTCCGCCTGGAAACGCTCACCCCGCCCTCCACGGGCCTGGCCCTGCACGGTGAATTTCTAGGGTCCCCCGTCAGAGCCCTTCACCCCTCACTCCGTTGCCCGTTGCCTCCGACCATGCTTTAGCTGTCAGGCGCTCACTGTTACCGGACGTTATATTATATACTAGGCTGGTCTGCTCAAGTGCCGGACCTCAGGCTCTCTCTGTCCGGTTCCCTGAAAGGTCCCCAGGCCTTAAGCAGCTCCTGGCACAGGGCAGGCACTTAGCAAACACGTGTGGAGTGAATGAATAATCATCCAACTGTATCGTGAAAACACATGCCTGATTGGGCTGACTGTGCTTTGTTTTATAAAATAAAATGCTAGACATCTGGCATTTGTTTTTCCTGTGCCCCATGTCTGAAAAGGTGAATTTATCGTCTTTATGCCACCCAGTAAAGGACAGAGAGAATTGCAAACAAGATTCAGCTCAAAAAGAGAAAACCCTGACAGGGAAGTGAAAGAGGGGAGGGAAAAAAATGAAAATAGGTCATCAATACAAATTTTCTTAAATGTAAATATTTTCTTTGTTATATTTGGTCAACTATAGACAGAGAAGCTTGCTTATTATCTGGATGGGAAGGGCCTACACTGTCACTTCCTGTCTTGCTTTCCTCCAAATATTTTGAATGCCTGGAAAATTTTTCACTCGTTACATACAGGCCATCAGGCCCCCAGGGCAGAGCTAATCAGCCAGATTTGTCCCCAGACGTGGCAAAATGGAACCAATAGACTTTTATTTAACATATGGTAAGACTGAATGGCAGAGAAATGTAGTTAGTTCCAAAAAAGATAGGAGTAATATCCTTAATGAGAAGTCACAATATGTTACAATGTATGATTTATTTATTAAAGAAAATATATTTCCCTTTCCGTCTGTCCCAAGGCTTTTCAAGGAAGGTGGTTTTAAGCACTGAGACGTAGAGTATGGATGTCTTTGGAGTATAAAACGACATCATATTCTCATGTTTAAAGTTCAGGCCTCTTTCTGTATTGTTTATAACGGACATGAGCCCAGACGCCCTGCACTCAGCATTTAGCTAACCAGCCTTCAGAATATCTTTATTCCAAGTATGCTCAAGTAATCGATGCTGACACACATTGTTGTCAGACTGAAATCAAAGAGAGGCATGCTTTCAGAGAGACAGCCAGGAGCATCACTAGAAAACTGTTGGGATCTATCATTTCTAAGCACAGGGTGTGGTTTTTTCCTGCTGAATTTTCAAAGGATTCTGGCTAAAATTCTTGCTTGCTTTGCTGGTTATAAACACACACCCACCACACACACACACACACACACACCACACCCCCCACACACACAC